CCCAATCATTCCAGAACAATGCATATTACTCTTGATGCTAACTTTTCGAATTACCCAATTGATATGAGAAACTAACTTACGAGCAATAACCTTCTTAACCTATGGCATTAGATTTACTTGTGTAACAATTAGCATCTCCTCCACTCCATATTCCTTAGTTTTTCTTTAGTGTTGTGGAATAAAATGGTAGTCAAACTCTGGATAGTGAGAGTTAAAAGGAGTGATATTGGGCCTATAAAATGTTTGTTGACACTTTATACAAACTGTCCTCATGTCCCTAATTGGTTCATAACTTGATTCCATAGAAGCTTCAACAACAACTTCCTCCATTATTTTAGACATTGATCCTGCTATTAATGTTGTCCTTCTACCAACCCACTCTCAAAGCCTATCTAAGTTTGGACCTATACTAGCAAACTTTACTTCTTATGCAGCCAAAGCTTTAAATAACCACTCAAAAGATGTAGTGAAGTCATAAAGCATAGCTTCATAAAAGGACATTTTTCCTTTCCCTACTTCGGAAACTCTCCAACTCCATTGTTTGCTCTCAAAGAGATTAATTGTTGGTGTAAGTGCAATGTCATCAAGTGATTAATCCTAGGAAAAATGTAATATTTGAATGTGACAAAAAAGAAATTAGAGAAAGCTTATATAGAAAATATAATAGCCTCATTGAAATATTCAAACTTCCCACCATGCAAGCCAACACTTCATTGAGAAGAGTGAATTTTTTTATCTGATTACCCTTATTGTGACATACATTCTCTAAACTAATTGATCTCGGCTTCAGCTTGAATCTTCTGCAAAGGAAGCTCTCTTAGAGAAAACAATTAAAGGCTCTCAATCAAATTTTAAATAGAATTCTCTTATATCTTCTCCTTCCTTGAGCACTTAAAAATATTTTGGGGAGAAATTGACAAGAAAGAACAAAGATATTCTTTTGTATTGTGAGCTTTAATTAACTGTGTCCTTGCAAAGAACAAGTTAATTATTTTAACAAAATATATAACCGTTTAGAATCTAGAGATACATGAGAATCTTAAAAAGCTATCTATAATAATTGTATAATTGATTGTGAGAGGAATAATACTATTAAAATGAATGGGGTTATGAGCGAGAGGCATCATAGCATTAATTACTTATTCTCCCACTCATCTCTATACTCTCTTCCTTTCAAAAGAGTTTCATTCTTTTGTGAGAAGTGAGAGAGAGTCAAGCTTGGAGAGGTTGGTTCATGTGTGATTTTTTAAACGTCTCACAATCAATTACACATATCTTAATATTTAAAGCACTGAATGATTGTGTCTATTGATCATGACTATTGATCATGACTTTTGATTTTTAGGGTTTTATGGCTAAGGTTTAAATAAGGAAGAGCGAAAGAAAAGTGTGTTTGAGCAAGGAAGGGGCACTTCAAGATGCTCCTCAATTAAGGTATACTTCCTTGAGAAGGTTAGTTTGCACACATGAATCGACGTCTTCTCACATTCTTTCTTTTATTAGAGGTTTTTTTTCCTTGACTTTTGTTTTCTCTTTAGGGATGGAGATGTCAATTCTCATGTGAACCAACATCTCTTGGCATTCTATTTAGTTTTTCATTTAGTTTTTTGCCTATTTCCGCCCTGTTATTTCAATTTTTTTCCTTATTAAAGGGGTGGGAAAGATCGATTCATGTGTGAACTAACGTCTCTCCACCTTCTTTTTTCCTATAGGTGAGCTTTCTTGTTTTTTTTTCTTATTTCAGGGGGTGAAATCTCTATATTTTAGAAAACAAGGAGAGATAAAAATGTTAGTTTTTGTGTAAATTAACATCTTCAAAGTTTTTTCTTGATTTTAAGGATTTCATAGCGCATTTCTTGTGAAAATGGGAGGGTGAAAAATGTCAATTCTTGTGCAAACCAACCTCTCCCATATTCTTGTTATGTTTTTCTTTTTTCTTGAGGCTTTTTTAGTCTTAAGATTTTTTGTTTGCTGAATTTTAGAGAGGTAGGGTAGTTGGTTCTTATGCAAATTGACCTCTCCCAGTGATTTATGCTTTTTTTCTTTACATTTTTATAGTTTACAATCTATTTTTCACATCTTTTACTTATAAATTTTTCTTGTGAAAGCAAATATAAATCACGTTTGACTAATTGGAATGTCCAAGAAGGGATTTTGTGAGACACAAATCCCTAAGCCCCAAAGTGGAGTTGAAAGGGTGTTACGTGGTAGTGGCCAAAGCGAAAGCCAAACAAGCGTAACACGTTTGGACTAAAAGCTCCGACTTGAAAGGTTGAGAGCGGGAGTGCAACTCCCAACAAAGGGCTCAAGGAACAAGCACAAAGCGAGCAATAAGTGAGTCTCTAGAAAAGGGACCTGAGATGGACCCAAGATGGAGTCCGAGATGGAGTCTAGATGGACCTGAGATGGAATCCGAGATGGAATCCAAAATGGACCCGAGATGGAACTAAGATGGAGTCCAGATGGAGTCCGAGATGGACCCGAGTGAATATGAACTGACAAGCAGGGTAGCTTGGCGAAGTGTTCAAGAGCCAGCTCTAGTTCCCCCGATAGATCTAATGGTCAATGCTCCCAGTCTAAGCATGGGTGGCACTACCTACTTGGATTCTTGGCATAGCTCAACAGAACTTCGCTCTAAGCCCATGGCTAGAGTACGCAAAGGTGGAAAGTGGAGAGAGTACCCACAAAGATTGCGTAAGGCCACGGTGTTCCAAAATGTTGTCCCAAAGTCCCAAACCCTGGAAAGGAAGAAAAGCAGTCCTCTGGTGTAGTGACCAAAGATACAGTCATGAGGTGAGGAAGTCCCAGAGGACCGTGGGACTCAGTGGTCGGGCATATGGGCCTTGATTCAAAGGCAGTGTTGGCGAACATAGCCATAGACAGAAAGGGATTTGGTGAGGACCGGAAAAGGGATATGGGGGAAGGCTATTCCCCATGTTTGCAGGCATCCTAAGGATGCTAAGGAGTGAATTGGGGATGATCACTCATGGATGGATGGCTCAGTCTTTGAGAGACGGGATTGTCATGCAAGTGATGTTAGACCACTAGTGTGACCAAAGTGAAGGGGCATGGCCTTAACGTCACGGGTTGATATGTCGGTGGTACCTTAGGGTGTCAGTCATGGGATTGGACACATGGAGCACTTAGACCAAGTGCAAAGGTTGAGTGGCAAGGATGCCATTCTTGGGGCTAGCAAGTTCCCAAGTCCGGAATAAAACTTATGGAGGTTGTGAGTGAGACCTCTTAAAGTGATTGAAGGTGTGGTTAAGTGACTAAAGTAGAATGGAAAATTTAGTTGCTTACAGATTTGAACTTATAATGCCATAGGTTTGCTTTACTTTACAAGTTTGGATTAGAAGCATTAATCATTTGATCTCTCAAGGGAGCTAAAGCCAATTCTTGAACACTTCACCAAGTTACCTCATTTGTCTATCTATGTTCTCTCTAGCCTTAGACTCCTTAGTGATTATATTATCACTCACTATGTGGGCATAGCCTTCCTTGATCACACTGGCTTTTCCTAGCTAAATTGGTTTCACTAGAGTCCCCCCCTTACTATCCTTTTTGAACTTACCAAACCTCTCAAGGTCTGGGAGATAATCTTTTTGAGCTTTCACCCTCAGACTTGGACTCAGTCTCAGTCTTGGTCTCAGTCTCACTCTCGGTCCCCATCTCAAACTCCTTCTTAAACTCCATCTCGAACTCCTTCTAGAATTCCATTTTAGACTCCTTTTTCAGACTCCTTCTCGAACTTTTTAAATTCCATCTCAGACTTCTTTCGGACTCAATCCTAACACTTTTAGGTGTCATGACACTTGTCATGTGTCAATTCTTCTTATGTCCCTTTTTAGAGACTCATTCATTGATTATTTCGTACTCATTCCTTGAGCATTTTATTTGGAGTTCCACTCCCGCTCTTAACTTTTCCAAGTTGAATCTTTTGATCCAAACATGTTATGCTTGTTAGACTTCCATTATGTGGCACCTTTTTGGCTCCACTTTGGAACTTAGGGATTTATGTTTTATATAAATCTCCTATTATTTATAACTTGTTGAGAAATAATAAAACACCTCTTGATGTCTTTGCATATCAAAGGATAAACCCTTTGAATTTTAGACACATCTATTAAATTTCTAAAGCATTGATAGGAAGCACTTCCATTATCTCCTTAAGATATAATAGCCTGACAACAATTCTCACATTCAGCCATAATTTATCCCCAAATTTGGCAATTGTCACATTTTAGGCCATATCACACCCACAACCTCCTCCTCAATCATATTTGCACCTATGTGCATGACCTCTATAATTGCAATGGTTACTAGAATTTCAAACAGTTGCATGTGGATTCAACATATAATAGGGTGTGTTCACAAAAGCTCCAATAGAACCACAAACAAAATAGAACAATCTTAATTTAATCAGCTTATACATTAGAAAATTCTTGACTCATCCTCCAAATCAATTGCCTTATTGCTTTGACTTCAACATATGATCCACAAAAGTAACCTCATCTACATGGCACCAAAAGTTTTGCCAAAATTCATCTAAAAAACTGGATGGTAGACTTGAAGGTGGTGTTAAAATTCAGAACCATAGTGCCATATCTTGCAGGAAACTCTTAAAGCTTGGTTGCCTTATCTGCCATGATATGTCCCAAAATGCTTGATTGGCAACCCAGTAAACTGCACAGTACTTTGGGATCCTCCAGTCATACTGGGTATTTGGTTTGTAATAATCTATTGCATCCCCACTTGAGCCCTCCATGAACACCTATAGGAGCCCAAAACAAAAACACACCATCATGAAAAGCTACTTACCAATGAAAGAACACTCATAATTATATACATTGGAAATAGTTTCATATAAGAATCCACATTAGCCATCAAACTAAGGTAGCTGTATCTGCATACATAGTATATATGTATACCAAAGTTTTATATACTAACATTTCAGCAGTTTAAAACTTGTCAAAAGACTTCTTTGGTAAAAAAAAGTATAAATGTTACAATCTCCATCATGTGTTCCATTACATAAATTTCATGTTCATTGACTTGGCAGATACGTTAGGCAAAGTTTAGATTGGAAAGGTTTTTCTTCACAGGTCGAGAGAACAAAAATTCTCGGAAAGAATCTCTCCCAAAGAGCGTTTTGTAGAGCTCCTTCTTTCAAGTTGTCAAAAACTCACCACCATACTACTGAGCAACCTTTCTCTGTGGTATAATGGATGTTAAGGCCTTCACCCAGTCCTTACTATCCAGGTACTCGAGTATGATCTCCACCACCTGGTTGACGGTGAGTACCTGAAAAGAAATCTCACCACTGTAAGCAATGGAAACAGGACGCGAGAGACGAACCGTGGAGGTTGTGAGCTTCACGTTCTCCTGGATAGGCAGCCGAGCAGTCGCAATTCCTTGCTCCTTGGCTTTGTTCAAAGTAAGACACTTGAGCCTGTTGTGATCCACCACTCCACCGATGATGTAGATCTTTGAGTCGTCGAGGCTCTCCAGTATTGTTTCCGAGTCTGCCGTGAGATAGACCAGATCCTGTGTCCTAGTCGCGAAAACTTCCATGTAGGACGTCTCCTCCCTGTGTAGCTTCCAGTTCTGATAGCCTGGTACGTTCTCGAGGTATTGCTTCATTCTTCCCAGAGACGTGAGCGATAGGCGCACGGATACGGGAGCTCGGGCATTCGCAGCATAGCAATACATGATCTACAAAAAAGAAAAGATGAAAACGAGCTTAGACGAAGAAAAACTTACTTGCTGGCTCATGTTTGCTATCTCTTGGTCGGTCATCTGGTCGCTAAACTGGAAATCGATCACCAGGTTCTGGCCAGCCTCGAGCGCCTTGTTGAGTTTTTCTTTCCTCCTGTTGTTTTCTTCCGCACGGACGCGGCTGGCTTCCTTGCTCCTCTGAATTGCGGCCTCTTTCTCTTCCGTGGAGAGATTTGCCCATTCCTGCGATTTTTTCTCCTTACGCTCCTTCTTCCTCTCCTTCTCCCGGGCCTTCATGTCCTTCTTCTTCTGCGCCATCTTCTCTAGCTTCAAGAGCCTCTTCTGTGCATTCTTGGACAGAGGCTTTCCATTTGGAACTTCTCCTCCTCCTCCGCATTGTTTCTCCAGGTTTTCGTTTTGATCGTTTTCTTCCTTCGCTGCTTCGTCAATCGCCGGAAGCGCAATGGCCTTGAGCTTCTTGGCAGCATGCTCCTTGCTCGAATCGTCGTCACAGATCAGCTCCTCAGCTTGACGACGGCCTAGATCCCAAAATCAAAATCAAAATCTCCACGACCGGCAATGCGCCACTGAATCAATCTGCACGCACCTGGCGAAGCGTTCGCCATGATCACCCTGCTCAAGGCGCAGCTCGCCCCGGGCACGCGCGCCGCGATGGATGACAATCCCACAAGCCCTAGCCTGGATGAGCATAACATTGGGGTTTAGGGCTTATCCACTGTTCAAAATTTAGGGTTCTGTGTCCACCTCCTCCTGGCCCTCCGAAACAAGGGAAATTCTTGCCAGGTCTCGCCGTGTCTTCATTGATTCATTCGTAGATTTCGTAGTTGGAGGGCAAATTCTCAACAAGCACGCTCAATCGAGCGCAAATTCTTTCCATCCAGCAGCTGGCGAGGCTAAAAATCACGGCGGCGACAGCGGCACTGGAATCAGTCGCAATAGGGGACATTTACGGCGACTTGGCCAAGACCCGGGAATCGCTTTGCATCGCCGGCGTCGTGGACGAGGATGATCGATGGATCGGGGGAAAAACAGTGGTGGTCCAGGTAGGGGACGTGCTGGATCGAGGCGGCCAGGAGCTCAAGGTCCTCTACTTGCTGGAGAGAGGCCCAGCGGCACGGCGGCGATCTTCACATCATGAATGGCAACCACGAGGTGGTGGGGACTTTGGCTACGCCGCTGGACGAGTTCTCGGCATGGGCTCAGTGGTATAGGCGTGGCCAGGCTCTCAAGGAACGCTGCCAGGGATTGGGACGTCAACCCGACGCGTTTAGAAACGTGAGGAAGAACATCCCGGATGGATTCCCTCGGTGACTCCCTACGTGAGATGGTAGAATCCGTGAGCAAAGACGGTGCTTCCAACGATGAGGTGAGCCAAGAACTGCAAAGAGATCGGGTCATAGAGCAGCATATTAGATAAATGCCGAGGGACTGTATTCAAGGACGAAAAGGTCAGCAAGCTCCAGGCTACTTGCGAGGAAAGGACGCTGTTGTGTGGGCATTCTCATGAGAGTCTGTGCATCTGTAAGAAGAGGTGCTCACGGGGATAACAGGGGCGAGTAGAATGGTAGTCGGGCACACGATCCAAGCTCCTTTCGGGATCAACTCTGCTTGTAGGAACCAGGTGTTTCGAGTTGACGTAGGACTGTCGAGTGGCTGCGCCAGCCAACACTGCTCCTGAAGTTTTGGAAATCTGACACAGCACTGATTTTCGGGTTCTCTCGAAAGAGAAAGAGAAGGAGAAGGCGCCACCGCAAGCACTGCCTGGTTTAGCTTCGATTTTAGATCGAGTTAAGTCGTAAGTTTGAATATCTTTGTATTCTATGATGAGCTTTTTTTCCGTCCGATACTGCTTCAGTCGAATCTAATTTTAAGTTCCAGTTTCCGAGATTCTGAGGTGGGAAGCACTCCCTGCCAGTTTGAAGTCCCACCTTTCCAGCTTGTATGATTCCTTCCCCGTTCTATCCGGGGATGATTGGATGTTCAGCCAAAACCATGGTCACAGGATTGAATGGAACTCGCATCTTGCACGTCCCGGTAAGAGCATCAGTCTGTGGAGAAGATCTGGTTTTGCTCACATTATCTCTCTTGTGCAGGCTGATCTTACAAGTGGACCATAAACATCGCAATCTTGAAGGACATTGCTACGAGCTCATGGTGAAGATTAGCCGCGGGGCCAGATAATTCAGCCAGCCCCGCGGCTAATTATCTGTTGCTGGATGAAGTTTTGATAAGATTTGAGTTGTGCTTTTTACTTTTAGAAGAATCTTTGAGTAAGTTGCAAAATTGACCTCAAAGTGTCATTTTGCTTGAACTTATTGCTTACCATGGTAAGAAAAGTATGTCTTTTGTTCGATATAAGAATACAATAATTGCTCGTCTCATTGCCATCATTAATGTTGTGTGCATGGGCACATCTTTCTCAAACTAATGATTAAGGACATAAAACATATAATCATAATAAAAAGTGCATGCAGCAATGTCGTTCTTATTTAGCATTTTTGAATAATCCAATTACTCAATAATTATAAACATGTTTATAACTTATAAATCAAAATTAAAATAATTTTATAGGAGGAAGTGTTTAGGAAAGTTTATAATTAATGACAAACAACTGTTAAATAGTAGAATATCCAAGAATATCCAAGCATATTCACTACCACCCCTACAGGTTTTGATTAAACAAACCAAAAATTTAAAAGTTAATTTAATAGACTGTTGAAGTTAGAAGCATTAGGTTAAAAGGTGTAATGCCTATTGGAAAAAGCCCTACAATTAGCTGTATTATATATAGTTAAAGTAAGTGATAGTTTAATGTATAATATAGATAAATTATAATTTATTAAATATTATAATCCTGAAGTATTTTTTATGTAAAAGTTGCTTGTATTAAAATATGGAGAAGGTAACCATATGAAAATTTACAATATTAATTTGATTAAAATTAAAACTACTTTAATGATATTAAATTTAAAAATAATCTAGATACATATCAAGTATTGATTTATGGTATATCTATCAGAAATATAAACTATTTTTAAAAAGTATATATAATTATTTATACTTTTAAAATTATTTTCACATACATATACACACACACACACACACACACACACACATATATATATATATTGAGTGTGTATTTCTAATTAGGTAAGTTGTGGCAATATTAAATATCAAGTGAAATTCTATTTTAAATAATTAATATACTATTATAACTATTTCATGTTTACTTATTTATATGAAGCATTTTTATAAAAATTATTATTACAATCTCTTTAGGCATTTTCTATTTCCATTTATTTTTATTTAAATTTATATTAGATAAAATTTTCAAGTAGATTTCCAGTTTTTTGAAAACTATTGTTGGTCTTTTATTAATTATCATAAAATTTAGTTAAATTTTTTATCTTGAATTTTATTCCTTAATTAAGGATTTCAGATTTTGTGATATCTTCTAGTTATTAATAATATAACAAAGTGCTGAAGGTAGTATTAAATATATTATTTTTGAAAAGAATCTATTTAGTGCATAATAATGTAGCTAAATTTATTAAATAATGTAATTCAAACTATTGAACAATTTAACTAAAGCTATTGAATAATATAACTAAAAAGGTAAAATAAATTAAAACAACATGTAGCTAAAACATTTAAAAATGAGTATGCAACTTAAATTTTGAAGTTAGTAAGCAAAAATAAAACAATATACTCTATTATTTATTAAACAATGTTAATATAAAAAACTCATTATATTAATAAATGAATAAATTGTAAACTAAAGAGTTATTACACATGTCAAATAAAAAAATATTTTTTGCCAAACTATGAAATGAACATACTGTCCATAATAGTGTATTATTACTAATTAATAACCTTTGATAATAAAATTATTTTCAATGTAACTATTAAAATCCTTATGCACATTAATTAAATTCAATCCAAAATATAAAAAGATTTAAAAAATTGTTAGTCTTTTATTTAATAAATTTAGGAAAAATGAAAAGGTGGTATTAAAAATATTATTCATAAAATGTAATCCATTTTAGTTAACTAAAGTTATTGAATAATGTAATTAAAATTATTGAATAAATTATTAAAAAATATAACTAAAGCGGCAAAAACATTAAAATTTGAAGGTTAATAATCTTTTTGAGGCTAGTAATCTTTTGGTCAAAATAAAAAAGATCCGGGTAATTATTATTGATATAAAGAGTTTGTAACATTAAAAACTGAAAAAGTTCTAGGACAGAGAAGTTCATTCTTGCCAAATCATAAAAAGAACTTTCAATAGGTAATAATGTGTCTTTCTGTTATTGATTAGGAACCTTGACAATAAAACTATTTTCAAACTTAATTATTAAAACCCTTAAGCATGTCAGTCACATCTAATACAGAATGTAGAAAAATCTGAAAAGCCTCATCCAGATCTTTTGAAAGAGATTCACCTAACAATACCATGCATGGCTTGAGTTGAGATAGCTCACGAATTTGGGTGGTATGAGTGCTTTCCTTTGAGCTATATGATCATCCATAAAGCTCCTTGGCTCCCTTCCTCCACTTCATTTGAGCCTGGTGCGGTGAGGAGGTATTTGACATGCGTCGAAAAAGAGAAGGCGCGTGCATGGTTCTCCCTTGTGACAAGTACTCAATCACAACAAATGAATGATCGGATCGATCATCCCGACTTCATAGCAATCCAATACCCAGCTTGAGACCTGACTGCGGCTCTCTCCCCCGCAAAGATTCCCGCTGTGGCAACTGGATCCCACCGCTTGTTTTGCCATGGAGCTCCCATGCATCTCTTCCGCCTTGACAAGCTTGACGAAGGAACTTGCCTTCTCCAATAAAGGCACGAGGTTGAGGAGAGGCACGTACTTGGAGATGCCGAGCGTGCTTGTGGCCGCACAATACGATCTTGCCGCGCCGCCCAAGAAACCTTCTTCCGGACCGCTGTCCATCTGCGATCCACATCGCAGCTATGGCCGATCTTGTCGACGGCCGTCGCCACAGTACGACCCACAGCGCAAGACCTCACCGGTCGCTGCCTCGTTGCATTTATGGCCACGGAAAAGCTTGCTTTGAGGAATATTCTCCTCATGCACTGGACTTGTGCGAGCGAGACTTGGGAGGAAATGGATCGATATATATCGCTCTGCGGAGAGAAAGATCTCCGGCCTTTGAATCATGGCGTCGCCACGGATCAAACGCCTCCTCGAGGGAATTCGGCCGAGGCAGCTATGCGGTCGTCTTGCTCAGCTCGCATTCTATTCCACTCGAGTAGTGCTCAGCGTGGAAAGATCTTTGGTTGTCACTTACCTACAGTCAAGGCCAGTCAAACACATGTCACGGCAAAAAGATTCTTTGCCTTCGCCCCAGCGTCTGTACTCGATACCTGTAGCACAAATAGTGATTCCGGATTCTTCTACATCAAAACCCTAGGACACTTACCTTTGAGTCTCTCCGGTATTGTTGCCGAATCTGCCGTGAGATAGACCAGATCCTGCGTACTAGTCGCGAAAACTTCCATTCAGTTTTGATAGCCGGGTACCTTCTCAATACGTGATCTGGAAGAAAGAAAAGATGCTTAGACGAAGAAAAGAGATGAGAAGAGATGAGAGAACCTACTTGTTGGCTCATGTTTGGTCAGTCATCTGGTCGCTTAACTGGAAATCGATCACCAGGTTCTGGCCAGCCTCGACAGCCTTGTTGAGTTTTTGATTTCATCGGCACGGGCGCGGCTGGCTTCCTTGCTCCTATGAATTGCAGCTTCCGCGGTTCCTGCGATTTTTTCTCCTTGCGCTCCTTCTTCCTCTCCTTCTCGTGGGCCTCTTCTGTGCATTCTTGGACAGAGGTTTTCCATTTGGAACTTCTCCTTTTTCTCCACATTGTTTTCACCCCTTCTTCGTTTTGATCATTTGCTTCCTTTGCTGCTTCGTCAATCGCCCCACGCCAGATGAGCTCCTCGCAAAATCAAAACCAAAATCAAAATCAAGAATCGATCTGCAAAGCCCTAGCCTGGTTCAAAATTTAGGGTTCTTTGTCTTAGGTATCTTGGCGGTAAGATGCCGGCATTCGCGGAGGCGCCGCCGCCGCCTCCTCCTCCTCCTGGCCGCTCGGACACAAGCAGCGATGACAAATTCTGTGGCCAGGTCTCCAATGCCGTTTCTTCATTCGTGGATTCATTCGTAGATTTCATAGTTGGAGGGCAAATTCTCAGCAAGCACGCTCAATCGAGCGCAAATTCTTTCCATCCAGCGGCTGGAGCGGGAGGCGAGGCTAGGAATCACGGCGGCGACAGCGGCATGGGCATCGTCACGAGAATCCCAGCAGTGGAGAGGTTAGTCGCAATAGGGGACATTCACGGCGACTTGGCCAAAACCCGGGAATCGCTTCGCATCGCCGGCGTCGTGGACGAGGATGATCGATGGATCGGGGGAAAAACAGTGGTGGTCCAGGTAGGGGACGTGCTGGATCGAGGCGGCCAGGAGCTCAAGGTGCTCTACTTGCTGGAGAAACTAAAAGGAGAGGCCCAGCGGCACGGCGGCGATCTCCACATCATGAATGGCAACCACGAGGTGATGAACATCGAGGGGGACTTTCGTTACGCCACCAAAGAGGCACTGGACGAGTTCTCGGCATGGGCTCAGTGGTATAGGCGTGGCCAGGCTCTCAAGGAACGGTGCCATGGATTGGGACGTCAACCCGACGTGTTTAAAAACGTGAGGAAGAGCATCCCCGATGGAGTCCGTGCTAGATATGCTGCTCTACGACCGGGTGGCCCGATCTCTTCGCGTTTCTTGGCTCACCACCCGACTATACTCATCGTTGGAAGCACCGTCTTTGCTCACGGAGGAATTCTACCATCCCACCTCGACTACGGACTGGAGAAGATAAATGCCGAGGTGAGGGATTGGATTCAAGGACGGAAAGGCCGGCAAGCTCCAGGCTACTTACGAGGGAAGGACGCTGTGGTGTGGGCTAGACAGTACTCCATTCCAGTGGAGAGTTTGTGTGACTGCAGGCTCCTAGACGAGGTTCTCACGGGGATAACAGGGGCGAGTAGAATGGTAGTCGGGCATACGATCCAGGCTCCTTTCGGGATCAACTCGGCTTGTCGGAACCAGGTGTTTCGAGTTGACGTGGGAATGTCGAGTGGCTGCGCCAACACTGCTCCTGAAGTTTTGGAAATCCGACACGACACTGTTGTCCGGGTTCTCTCGAAAGAGAAGGAGAAGGCGGCCCCGCAAGCACCACCTGGTTTAGCTTCGATTTTAGATCGAGGTAAGTCGTAAGTTTGAATATCTTTGTATTCTATGATGAATTTTTTTTTACCGACAGGCAAATCTCCGATATTGCTTCAGTCAAATCTAAAATTTTAAGTTCCAGTTTTCCGAGATTCTGAGGTGGGAAGCACTTCTATCAATGCGTTCGGATCCCCGCCACTTTGAAGTGCGACCTTTCCAGCTCTCATGATTCCTTCCACGGCGCGATCCACATAGTCCGACGCGTATTTGACTGTCATCGACGCACCAAGATTTGGATAGCCACTTTTTCCGTAGTCACCATTAAGCTGCGATGCGAGTCCCACCATTTCCACTTGGAACTCCGTCAGCCGCCCTTCTTCGTTTGGAGGAGAATGCCGGAGTGACCAGGGCGAACTCGGCAGCGTCACTGGAGATTACAGGATCGATCAGACAGAGGTCGGACAAGAAGGAACTCAAAACTTTACCAGGACAGTCCGTTCGAGGTGTGGTCCGCGTGGAAGACAAGACAGTCTCAAAGGTCCCCGCCCAAGCGTCTCTTTTCGTCAGGAAAGGTTGCGTGAGATTGAAAATCTTCTTCACAGTGGCCGGAATGGAGGAATGCTCGTACTGGGAATCCTTGGTCGGTCCGTTTGGCCGGTGTATTACTGCAAAGCCAAGCACGCTTAGTAAGTTAATGGGAGGCAATCAAGGAGTTCATTTCGCAAGCAGATCTGCCAAACCAGCTACCCGGATCAGTGGCACGGGAAATGCCACGAATAAAGGCAGGGTAGGGTGACAGTCACAGCAGGAACGCCGCATAAGTCACGGAGTAAAGACAAAGGGAAAAGAAAAAAAGAAGCTCTGGAGGTACGAGTAGTAATGGTGGACGGTGACCGCGGGTCCCCAGAACAAGGACAGGAAACAGGAAGAACTCACCTGTTCCTTTGTCGATCCATGGAGAGACGAAAATCGCTGGGACGCGGACACCGAGCCTGTCGAAGTTGAAGTGATCGTCGTCTCCACCCCTGAGACCGTCTGGATTGGGAACGTTGTCCATTGGTGTGGAAACGTGGTCGAAGAAGCCACCGTGCTCGTCGTAAGTTATCACCAGCAGCGTCTCGTTCCACTGGGGGCTGGAGCGTAGGGTCTCGTACACCTCCTTGATGAACTTCTGGCCCTCGGCAACGTCGTGCGAGGGGTGGTCGTCGTTGGCGGGCGTCGCCTTGGTGTCGTAGTAGCGCTGCTCGACGACGACGTAGTTTGGGAGCTTGCCTTGCTTGGCATGCGTCTTGAAGAGGCCGTAGTTGTGGAACTTCCCGAGATACTTGGGGCTCCTCAGGTTCCTGAAAAGAGATGGAAGTCAGGACAGACGAGCAGAGGAATAGCAGCCACAACGAGGACGTGCCTGTAGAACAAGGTGGCCGGGATGTTCTGGTAGTAAATCCCGAAAGACAGCTTGTCTTGGTCGATCGACTCAAAGATCGTTTTTTGCGGGAATCCTTTGACAAGGTCGGACCTGACGTTGCTCACAGCACCGTGGGACGTAGCGGAGTGGACGTAGAGCCGGTTTGGCTGGGTGGAAGCTGGAACCGACGCAAACCACTTATCACAGATAGCAAACTCCATAGCCAAGGCGGTGTAGGCCGGGACGAGCTCGGGCCGGAAGGAGCTCATCACTCTCTGCGACAGGTTTTTCTGGATGATCTCCGCCTGCTGGGCGAAGCCATTCATGGGTGCTGGATTCTGCGAAGTACTTCCGAAGCCGAACACCTGGTCTCGGATGGCTCCGAACGAGTGGCCGGGATCGGGGTCCACGAACTCGGCCTTGTCCGAGACAAACACCGTCCCCGAGCTTGGGTCGGTTAAGTTCGTGGGGTTGCTCTCCTTCCCTGTCAACCCGTCGATCTCCGGGTTGAGCTTCTTGAGCCAGCCGAGCATATGATCGAAGGACCTGTTCTCCTGGACGAGCACGACTATCGTCTTGATCCGGCCGCTCGGCTGCGCTGCATTGGTGCCGGGGCTCAAGAGGAGCAGCAGGACAAGAGGTACTAGACACCACTTCATTGTTGCTGATTGATTCCCTCTTCCTTGCTTCCAGGGGACAAGATTAAATAGCGCGCGCTGGATTCTTTGCTTGGCCACTTCAAGAATACCAGCGCAACAAAGGAATGAGTAGCGCTCACTCCAGTCGATGCAAATCTTATAAGCAAGTATGGTGAGTGTGCACGCTCATGACTTTGCCTTGCACGCATCCAGCCCAAACTCATGAGGGTCCTCCAGCCCCAAAGCAGGCCCGAGCGAATGAAAAGAACAGAAGGTGTGAAAGAAACCCCCAGAAAGCGAGCAAGAACCTTTTCTCTCAAACAGCGGAGAGGAAGATAGACGATGATGCGAATATGCCGCGTCCATTTGTCTGGATTGGTTAATTGATGCCAGTAACTGTTTGGCAATTACTTTCTCCAGCCTACACGTCAAAAGCTACGCTGGGAGTGAAATAAGTCGTAGAGATTTGACCGAATGAGAACCTTAGAGCTATATAGGAGTGAAACTGGGAAACTTTTCAACACTTAGTTTATTGATTATCATCTGCCATAAACAAGGAAAAGAAAACATGTAGAACCTTTAGAGAGATCTAGCGAGAGGGGCCAGCCAGTAGCAAAGATCGTTAGAAAGAAACCACACAGAGCTACTTTGTGCTGTTTCCGGCGATTAAACATCAATTCTTTCTTTCGTCCTCTCATTTTACACTCTTGTACAGCCAAAAATGTTACTCAGTTGTTTCTACAAATCGACCCAGCCCACCTGTGTTACGGATTTCTCCTCTCCGGCCTCTCCCCGATCCCAATAAGAAACTCCCCGGCCTGGACACTCAAACCACGTAAGTTCTCCAATCATCCTAGAAAATCATCCTAGAAATATAACTAGAACAACGAAAAGGGAGAGAGAGTAAGAGCTCGAGTACCTTTCGATTGTCAAAGGCCGGAGGAAGCAGCAGCCGCAGCAGCTGCTGCAGCATTCTCCGTCCTACACTTGGCATGAACGATCGGTCCCAAAAGCGTCCTATCCATCCCCTCGGTCGAAGTTCCCGGAGGGACGTTCATATACACTGCTCCCCTGTACATCCACTCGTCCGTCTCGTCGCTGTAGAAATCCTCGAATGGCTCCCCGCACAGAGCACACGAGCTCTGGTTCTCGTCTGCCGGGACTGCGAAGTTTTGGTCCTCCTCCACCTTGCGAACCTCCGCCTCCTCGGCGAACAACGGCGGCGTGCTAGCTTCACACTCGGTAGCACTGACGCCGCCAATCCACTCCTTGAGTCCCACAAACCACCTTCTCGAGGACTTCTTCTGCGACTTTTGCCTCCTGTTCCGAGTTACATGCCAGTCCATATGCCTGCTGTGCTCGTCCTGTCCCTTAAATCTAAGCCCGCACGTCTTGCATTGCCTCGGGAAGTCCGAGTAGAGCAAGTTGATCACGATGTCATGTCGCTCCCTGAGAATTTCCTGGCGGAACTCCACTCCCAGTCCTGTAACATCTGTGTTGTTCGCCGATATGAGGCCTTGTGTGATGAGCGATGACAAGAGATTCCCGAGTCCTCCATCAGGTCCAGGTCCAGAACCGGATGGCCCAAGCGGTGGTGCAGGAGCCGGAAACATTGGTAGTGGAGGAGGAAATTGAAGTGGAGGTGGAGGTGGCGGCGGCGGTAGTAGAGCCTCAGGCTGAAGTTGGGACTCTGGCTCAGGAGGAATAAAACCGGTCTTGAACAGTGCGGACAACAGGCTAGAAGTATTAGAAACTGGTAAGGGTTCCGAGACGGGCATGCCAAACGGATGAAGGGGAGGCCCCGCTGGAGGCAGCAGCGAGTGGGACATCATGGGAGGATGTTGGAACTGATTATTAGGTGGTCGAAGAGCTGAAAACTGTGGTGGGAGTGGAGGATTCTGCTGCAGCTGAGCCAAAGGTGGCGGTGGTGGTGGTGGTGGCGGTGCTGGATCAAGGACGTCCTGCAAATTCTAGTTAGTTGCACGAATAGAAAAAGGGAAAACAGTAAAGTTAAGGAAAAACATCCAACAGCGAACCTTAGCCTTGAAGTGTCGTCCGTCAACCTCCCTCCGTGGTGACTGCACGTGTCTTTCGGTTCCTGGTGTATCGGAAAAACCCGTATCGGCCAGCGAGCGCTTGTTTTTGTTCTGTCCACGGCCTGTTAAACGCGAGGAAACAGCAGCCTTCCGGACTTCGTCGTTTGAGCCTCCATCCCCTCTGTCAGAGGTCTTCCACAAACCTGTTGTTGTCTTGGAAGTCGCGTGTGAAGGCAAGGAGCCGCCCTTGCTATTCTTCTCGGGCCACCGCTTCTGGAATCCAGTGTCGCCATTTCTTGGAACCTCCTGCACAAGAAGATTAGATAGAACAACAGATAAAAGTCACTACAATACCTTGTTAGATTGTTGGAGCTGTTTTTGAGCTTCGAGGATGTACTTGGGATTTACATGAATCCCATGCCCAGTACGAGGAGGTACCGATTCTACAGATCTTAAAGAAGGTCCATTTATTGTAGAAAAATGCAGTTCAACTTCTATTGCTCGCAAAGGAGCTTGCCCGAAAACACCACGCCAAGTCTTGAAGAGATGCTGCATTGCAGGGTAAGTCGTCGGGTCGACTTGCCTGTAGCACTTGCAAAAGACCTGCCGTCCACCCAGGACTGTCAAAACAGAGCGTCGACTAAACAAAATCCTTTGCATACCTCCGCTAGGCGCTCGCCAAAGTACTGCACGTAGTCACGTCCGATGTTCTTCACAATGCTATCCAGGAGATACAACGCAGGCAGCTTTTGCTCCTTGGCCACCTACAGCCAAACAGAAGAAAGAAAACCAAAACTTTAGAAACAAAACGGACCAAAGAAAAGGAAAGAAAAGAAAAAGGAAAGAGAGGAATCCACATACCTCCATGATGTGAGAACAGATCGCGTTGGCTATGCCTCGAGCAGCATGTAAGTTTTCCCCAGCAATGATGGTCAAGTTAGTAATAATCGGCTTGGAATTGAAAGTGAGCTCGCCAAGAGCTGCCTTATACTGGGTAACAAGTTCATGGTCTTGCTCGTTCTCGAGCCTCCCTCTCTCTCTCTCCCTCTCCTCTCGATTCTCTCTCTCCCTATCCAGAGCCTTGAGGCGCTCGAACACATTGACGCGGGAAGGAGGAGCAAGAGGAGCGGCGGCGGCCTTACTCTCACTTCCTCGCCTCTCCATAGGACTCACCCTCCGCCCACCACCGCCGCCTATCTTTGCCCTATCGGCTGCATCAAGCAAGACACCACTCTCCCTCTTAAGCATGGCCGGAGCTCCGATTCTCGCGAAATCGGGGAAAGAAAAGGCACCACACAAGAGGAGGCCGCGGATTTTGTTACCTCATTGGAATCGCAGCAGCGCCGCGGCCGACCTAGCACAGCGCGGGCGCCGTCGCGGTCGATCGATCCCCGAGCATCGCCGCCCACGCCGATAAGCCGATCTTTTGCTTTCGCCCAAACCCTAGAATAAGGAACGCATGACCGCCCCCTTGGACGATTTCCGTCCCACAAACGAGGCACACCTTTAGAAACGAATATTCTTCTTAAACCCCCTTTTTATAATTTTTTGTGGCCCAAACTGCTTGCCCTAGAAACCATTTTATCCAAGTTAGGGCGCTGGCCGTCGTCGCGGAGAAAGGTATGGGTGTCTCTCTCTCTCTCCCCCGATCTGTCTGTGGCGTGGGATTTTCTGGCTGGATTGCTTTGTTCTCTGTGATTCTGGCCTGGAGAGGGGGATTTAGGGAAGAATCGCTAGCTAGAGCCATGAGAATGTTGAGAACCAGATTGCTGACCAGGGAATTGAGCAGGGTATCAGCACGGTACCGGTTTCCTCCGGAGCAGCGAGGGAGAAGAAGAGTATGTGAGAAAAATCTGGCAGCGCAGGCACAGGTTTGAGGAATAGGTCGAAAAAAAGTGAGAAAGGAGGGAGAAACAAACAGGGAAGGGAAGATGAGCACCCCGCCGTTTCCCAACGATGGCTCTTTTCTCGAGAGGTTTAAGCAAATGCAAGGGGCTCCCGCTGTGGCCGCTACTACTAGCGCTGTGAGTGAGCCGCCGAGCACGAGCACTAGCAGCACTAGTTCTAGCACGGGAGTTCAGCCCGTGAGCATCACGATCAAGAAGAATTGCTGCATAGGTTCCAAGGCACCTCCCGTAACGCCAGCGTCAAACGGGAAGTTAGCGTTCAGTTTGAAGGCCAAGGTAGTTAGGCCTGCGGTGAATCCATTGAAGCTGGGTGACAACGATGATGATGAGGAGGAGAGTGCTGCTGCCGCTAGTACTGCTCCTGCGGCTGCCAAGGTGGTGATGGAGAGACCCGCGAAGAAGCAGAGGTTTGATGTTGTTGACGCTCCCTCGCACTCAGGTAATTCAGTTCAGTTTCGTTAAGTGGTTTGATTGAAACCTGTCTCATGCTTGCAGCTCTGCCGGCCCCTCCTCTTGATCCTGATGTGAGAAAGGTAGCGGAGAAGCTTGCCAGTTTTGTTGCAAAAAGTGGTCGGGAATTCGAAGATATCACTCGGCAGAAGAACCCTACGGATCCTCGTTTTGGGTAGGCCATTGAGAGGGAATTGTGGTGTTTTTGGAATGCTTGCTTCTTTCGCTTGTTTTCTATTTTGTTATGGTGGTGCATGAATAGCGTTTATCTCTTTTCTTTGGCAGGTTTCTGTTCGATGTTAATTGCTCGGACTACAAGTATTACGAGCACAAGCTTGCTGAGGAGGAATCCTTCCTCAATAAGCCCCATACTCCGATCGTGTTGCAACATGGTAAAATGTTACTCACATCTGGTGCTAGCTGGTTTATGTTGGGATAAGTTTTTCAGCCACACCATCTCGGCAACAATCGTTTCCACAGAGAAGCTCACAACGTACAAACTTTCAGACCCCTGCCTCGGCTCTATACGAGAACGGGGAAGAAGCACGCCATGAGCAGGAGCAAGACACAGGTATGCAAAGTGTTTAAATATTCGGGGTTCTGACTCTACTGTTTCAGCCAAACAATCAACAGAGCCAGACTCTTTGGCTATGATGGACTTTTATATGAAAAAGGCAGCCCAGGAGGACCTCCGAAAGGCTCCTAAGCAAACCAAAGATGAAATGCCTCCACCGTTGTCACTGACGAGTACACGTAAGGATAAGGTCTTGAGATTCGTGCTGACAGTCACTATGCAGCCTCCACAAAGAGGGGTCACCATATGGGAGACTACATTCCTCAGGAAGAGCTGGAAAGATTTATGGCGAAATGCAACGACGTCAGTGCTCAGAAAAACATACTAGAAGCAACCGAGAAAGCCAGGATTCAAGCAGACAATGTAGGCCATCGTCTACTGTCCAAGATGGGATGGAAAGAAGGTAATGCATTCGAAAAAATTTCTCCTTGTTTGTAATAGTTGCTTTATATGCTTCAGGTGAGGGACTTGGAAGTGCTAGAGGTGGCCGTGCCGATCCGGTGCAAGCGGGACAAGTGAAGCTAAACAATCTGGGATTGGGAGCCCAGCAACCTGGCGAAGTAAACTCTGAGGACGACATCTACGAGCAGTACAAGAAACGTATGATGCTGGGTTACAGGTTCCGTCCTAATCCACTGGTAAGCTTTCTCTATTTGTTTTCGTGGAATCTCGAGACACAAACCCGGTCGTGTTCATTCAGAACAATCCCAGGAAAGCATACTACTGATGAACCCCCGAAAAAATCAGAAAAAAAAAAAGTCGTTGTTTCTATACACGATCTAAGATTCCTCCGCTCTGTAAGTGTATCAATCACGTATTGTACATCTTTGCTGCTGCCATGACGCTCGGCTGGAAGGAATAAATCACAGGGAAGCTTGCTTGTGGAGGACAACTTGGAGATCTAAAACAAAGAACGAATAAAAAAGTTCCATCGTGTTCTAGTACTTGCTGGGCTCAACCGGGCAGTCTCCAGGTAGCGGATACTGGCAGTAACTCTCGTTCTTCATGCACAGGAAGAGGCGCTCGTACGCAGCTCCCATCTTGGTGGCCGTGAACATAAGCGAAGCATAGTCGCGGCAGAGCTCTCCTTTACGTCGCATGGTGTCGCGGCCCTGCGCGATCACGGCCTCCATAGCCTGCTCCAGCGAGTCGACGTTGGGCGAGAAAGTATGGCCAAAGTCGCTGCTCACCACCACACTCCAAGTGATGCTCGAGAAGTGCGTCGCCAGTAGCGGCTTACCGCACTGCATGGCCTCGAGGAGAGTGTGATCCAGCCCCTGCGAGCGCAGCGTCGGATTGACGAAGACGTCGAGCGCGTTGTAGAAGTCGGCGAGGTGCGCGGGATCCATGGGGCCGAGCGTCTTGGCATTTGGCGCGAGCTCGCGGTAGCGGTCGGCCCAGGGGCCGTGGCCCGCGACGAGCAAGAACACCCCGGGGTGACGCGCGGCTATCCGCGAGAAGGCCTCGAAGAGCAGCGGGTGGCCCTTGTCGCGGACCAGGCGACCGGCGGCGCCGAAGACGAGACTGGCGTTGACCGGCACGCCGTACTTGCGGCGGAATGCCGAGCCTGCGTCCAGGCTCGGGCGGAACCGCGACTCATCCACGCCGTTGAGGATGGTGTGGACATTCCGGAGCGGAATCTCGTAGATGGTCTGGAGGACGTCGCCCACGTAGTCGCTGGTGGCGACGTGGTGGCGGTAGCTGGGGAAGAACTTGATCTCGTCCGCCACGCGCGTCAGGCGCTCGCCAAGTGATCGCTGGAGGTCAGCGCTGCGCGGCTCGCCGGGCTTGCGTACCAGATCCTGGACAAGGTCCGAGTGGATGATCTCGTAGCCGATGCCGTGCCAGGAGGCGGCGAGGTTGGATCCCAGGAGCTGGGCCTTCCAGTGCGGCAGCGCGACGCTCTCCGAGTGGACGATGTCGAATCCGCCCGGATGAGTGGAGTTGTCGGCGAGGAATTGGTCCCAGGCGCGGTGATAGTCGAATCCACCGCCGGCGTTGGGGCGGGAGAAGTGGACACGCAAGAGCCCCCGTTCTTCGTGATCCTGTTGATCGTCCAGGAGCTCTTCCGGATTGTCGGAGCCAGCAGCGGCGGAGGTGTAGACGTGGATCTCGTGGCCCCTGGCGGCGAGATTGCGGTGGAGCGTGAGAGCGTGGCGCTCCAGGCCACCCGGGACGCCCCCGACTGGCCACTTCTTGACGAAGAGCGCGATCCGGAGGCGTTCCTGGATGGGGCCGAAGCACAGCCGGTTCCACGCCGCCTCCATCTGCCGCAAATCCCCGCGCCACTCCCACAGCGATTCCTGATCGCCATGGCCGCCGCTGCTCCTCCTCGCCGCCGCGAGCTCGCGATTGCTGGAGCGATCCCTCGCGCAGGAGGTGGAGGAGGAAGAGGAAGGGCCATTGAACAATGCGAGAGAGTAGACGATCATCGACGCCGCCACCGCCAACGCCCAGATGCATTGCCACGTATATGGCAGCCCACGGCCACGGCTGCCGCACACCGCCATAGCTTCCTTCTTCTTGGAGCTCGCCGTCGTCATTCCTCGTCCATGGGCGAGAGCTCGGAGGCGAGAGAAGCGCCATGGTAACGGACGGCCCAGATTTGAAGTGGCCTCAAACAGAATATCCGCGGCATCTCTCCTGCCGTTATGTCGGAAGAACCGGGATCGTGCAACATGGGCGGAATCTCGTCAATTTCCCAGCAATCCGAAAATGGGGACAAAACTCTTGTTGACAAGCTCCGCGAAATTCAACACGCACCGCCAGCCCGTGAGTTTGAATTGATCATGATCAGACAAACAAATCAAAGAATGAAACGCTTGGAGCAGCCAAGAAAGATCTGCCAGACAAAGAAAATCTTAGAATTCGATCGATTCCTCCCTCATTCATGGCCCATTTGAGCAATTTGGCACAATCCTCGCAGAGTTTCACGGGCGATCGTTGACAATCGGGTACAATGCGGGGCTGCGACAGGGCAAAGCCATCAGTGATCCATCAATTCCCACTCCTCTTCTCCACTCACCTCAGCTCCGCGCGGGCGGCGCCGCTAGCCCGCGCCGCCAGGAACTCGAGCGCCCAGCACACCACCCCCATCGGCGGGCGCTCCTCGGGCGTGGAATGCCAGCACTGCTTCATCACTCTCGCCAGCGACGGATCCATCCATCGCGGCACCTTTGGCCGCTTCCCCGGCAAAATACACCCCCACCCGCGCACTTTGCGGTAGAAATCCCGCGAGCTCAGCCCAGCGTAGCGCTCCAGCGGCGTTCTTCCCGTACCAATGGCATAGCATGTCATAGCGAAGCTGTACACGTCAGCCTTGTCCGTGTACGGGCACGTTGGGCCATCCTGTACGACCTCGGGCGCCCAGTAGCATTTGCTCCCCCTCCTGGAGGTGTGGACGTAGGATCCCTCGCGGATGAATCGCGAGGTCCCAAAATCCGCGAGCTTGACCATCGTCCCGCCGCGCACGAATCCCTCCTGGGCTGGGTCCTTCGATCGATAGAGCACATTGCCGGGCTTGACATCGCGGTGCATGATCCTCTGCGAGTGGATGAACAGTAGCGCACGCGCGAGCTGGAGCATGATCTCCAGCGCGTCCGCGGCCCCGAATTCGGCGAGGGTATCGATCGATCGGCCCCTACGATCGATGCTGCCGACGAAGAGCTCCATGAGGATGGAGAATTTGTCGCTCTGGGCGTCGCTGGCTCGGGGGATCTCGGCGTAGGCGAGCGAAGCGAGGATGTGCGGGTGACCGGAGAGCTTGGATTGGATGGCCAGCTCGCGCAGCGCCTCGGATTTGCTGGAGAAGCTCTTCATGGCATAGGATTTGTCATTCCACTCCACTTGGTGCACCACTGCGTAGCTCCCCTTTCCAATCATATCCCCCATGTCCGTCTCGCGGATCTCCGCCCTGGGCGTGCGCTCCAGGAGCTCCTCCTCGCTCAGCGCGGTCCCGTCCGGATCGGGGAATCTCACGCTCTCCATTCTCCGCCAGAGATCGATCAGCTCGCCCCTATCCTGCTCGCTCGCTTTCGGGAAGAACTTACGCATCCATTTGTTGACGCTGCGGTTGGACTCCATCGCCATTGCTCCGTAGCTCGCGGAAAGAAGAATTTTTACTTACGAAAGTCTCGTCAACCCTTTGAAAAGTCCGGAACGCGGCCAAAAAACGTTCTTGTTGTTCTTGCTTCCACGCAGGTGAATCAAAAGAGGCTTCCTCTTCCAATGAGGATGTCGCCATAAGCTTCCTTTTGTAGCACACTGAGATAGCTATTTGAAGCTAAGACTGCACGAACGAAACATAACATAGCTCACTGGTAAGAAAAAAAAAACACTATCGAGACTCACCGCAGATGTGGAAGAACATCTTTGCTCCCTGAGAGGCGTTCATGCCTTCCGTAAGGCTATCGAGGGACAACGCCTTGATCCCCGGAGAGCTGATGAAGTGCTCCCGCAAGTACCTGAAATGTTTCTCATGGTATCATCATGATCGAAAAAACTCGGAGCAGCTTACTGGAGCATGATGCTTGTGAGCTTGTCTAAGTCGCGTTGATAGGCCTGTGCGGCTTGAGTCGGCTCTGTTTCTGGCGGAGACACGCGAAAGTTCTAAACAGTTGAAATGTTTTCTTTCAAGCTTACCAAATTGGCTTGGTAGAACTGTGATGTCTGGAGTTCTTTCTTCCGGGAAAACGTCGTTGGTATAAAAATCAGTACCAAAAGGCGAGTCACTCTTGCGTTCCGACGCTCGCGACCTCTTGGACCTTGAAAAACATTCAGAAAACTCTTTAGTTAGTGCAATTCGAGGCATGCAAGTTTTCAGACCTCAAGCTGGTCGGATAATCCCCCACAACGTCGGGAACGAGCTTGTCGGTGGATTGAGAGCTCCTTTTTCGTTTAGAATTCATGACGCTGTTCACTGGAAAAACACACACAAAAGAAATGTTAGTTGTTGCGCCAAGGAGTTTTTTATAAGCGGGGAACCTGAAATATTTGGAGTCACTCCGGTTTGGACATCAAAGAAGCTGCCTCCTTCGCTTCCTGTAACAGGAGTTTGAACGGGTGCTCGTAGTTTCTCGACGGAGCCGTAATTCTCAAAGTTAAAAGGTGCCTCAAAACGCTCGGGCTCTTCGAACGCGAATTCCAACGGCGGAGGAGGCTGCGAGCAAAACATCAGTGAAATAGCTTCTAAGTGCTACTGTAGTGCTACCGATTGATCAGCAGATACTTGCTGGTCCTGCTGTTTGGCAGATGTTTGCTGTTCTTGTTGTTTCTGCTGCTCAGAAGTAGTCTTTTGTTGTTCATTCCTTGGAGTCACCACGGTTGCTTTGGACCACAGATCAACGATTGAGGCTGGTAAAAGTGACTTCGGTATGGTACCGCAGCCTAAGAAAGTTAAGGGATTGTTCAGCATCACTTTTGCTCTTTCAGCCGATGCTTGTGTATACAGCTGTTTGATCGCAATGTCAGTGAAGGCAAAACGCTGTTCACATACCTTTCGTCTATTTCTTCTGTAGATGATATTTGAAGTGTCCTGCAGCCAGGACTGGAAAACTTGAGCTGGAATCTCAGTCAACTCGACGTCGTAGACGAGTTTCTTCTGCCGCTTGATCGTCTTTCTTTTCTTTCGCGGCTTATGAGGCTCCGGCTACAAAAGTAATGCATAACAAAAGAAATGAGTAGTAGAGGCAGATGCTTACCGACTTTGGTCCTTTGTCTTCACCTTTTTCGTTGTCGCCATCCCGTTCTTCAGATATCGGTTCAAGTCCATTTGGAACTTGAACAGCATTTAGTCGTTATGTAAGCTTTGCATTTTTCAACCAGCTCTACCTTGAAGCGGGGCATTCATAGTAATCATGTCGTCAATAAAGTTCTCAGGCTGCTGGAACCTGTACTCACTTTCTTCCCTGAAACAAAGAAAAGCTTAGCGCGCTTTAGAAACTATCCATGTTTGCCTACCTCTCGACATCGTCATCCAAAACAGTGGCGAAGGAGCGAACACTATCCTCATTCAGCGTGATGTCTTCGTTGTCAGCTGTTCTTACAAACCTCCTTCACCTCATTAGATCTCGTGTTGATGACACGTACCTTGAAATCGGTTGGGTCTGGTTCTCGCCACCGGAGGAGGAACCGTGAAAAACTCGGGATCGTCCTGGTCCGGTGTTTCCGGCTCCAGCATCGCGCGCTCGAAATCCTGGAAGGTTTCTTCGGTGCCATCAATCGTGATCGCTTCGAACCTGGAGTCACAGATCGCGTGGAGCCAGCTTAAGATAAACAACATCTTACGTACTTAGCGCGAGCTCTCCTTTGAGGAAGCCTGGTAGTGTCCTCGGTCTTCAGCGCGGCTTGTTTGGTTTTCATCTTAAACTGGAGCCAACGAACAGTGATCATCGAGAGAGGAAGAACAAAACCAAGAAAACTTCCTCACCAGGAACTCCGTGACATCGTCTTGATCAAGGAAAGAATGTGAACGAAAGCAGAGAAAATAAACCATGGCCTTACCATACAAGAATTTGACTTTGTGGTTGTAGATCCTCACGATACCTCCTGCAAGAAAGATCGATCTTAGAAGAGGCGATTCTTACATGCATCGCGAGATCCCTTACCCATGAGGATTCCCGACAGCCGTAGAGCCAGAGGAACGACGGGATTGATGATCTGCATGCTGCGGAGAGACATCGGCGCATTTCAATCGATCCGATCAAAATTTCCAACCAAGAATCCAACAAACCAGCTCTCTTGGATGTCGATCTGATCGGTCCTCTTCCTGTTCATCTTTGGATGCACCGTCGCCGCGATCCTGCAAATAAACGCGAGAAGAAGAGATCGATGAGACGCTTGCGCCGATCCGCGCGCATTCTCACCATATCTGCCCGAAGGGACCTTTCTTGGAGAGCAATTGGTGGGAGTAGAACATCGTGGAGTCGAGAATGTAGGCCGCGCAAACCTCTAGTAGGGTTTTACCGCCATTCTTGAGGGCTTATTTGGCGAGAGGCCAAAAATATTTTGCCCGGCCGGAGGCCCGCTTGGGACTGGATCATCGCTCGCCGCGCTTCCAGGTTTCCCGATCTTCACCGCATTCCTGGCCGATCGAGGTAAGCGAAGCATTCTCTTTGTGGGGCATTTTGCTTGGTATTTCTTGTTTGTTTTTCCTGGGGCCAGGCGTCCATGTCCTAGAAGATTGCTAGAAAAGCGTTCTATGCTTGCCTGTCATGCTCACAATGGTTTTACGTACAAGGTTTTCCAGGGAGCCCATGAATCCTCGCAAGAGCTTTGATTCCATCAAAGACTTAATGAGGTACTAAGCTATCAAAGGATTCTTGACTCACACCCAAAATAAATGTTTTCAGAGCTAGCAGGATCCATTTACTTAAGAGTTCCATCTTCTCCGCGGAGTGCGCAGTAGTCGATCATCATGCTGACGGTATTGTTTCTCGGACTAGTTATGCTATTCTCTCGATATCCGATCGAGGTAAGTGAAGCATGCTTGATCGCTTGACAGGTATTTTTTGTTCGTTTCTTCGGGCTGTCGAGAAAAGAGTTCTATGCTTGCTTGCCGTGCTCAGGTTTTTTCTTGTTTTTCAACGTTTCTTCAGTGGTTAACTCTAACGAGGAGCGTGGAGTCCTTCCATCAAACTTACGAGAGCTATGAAAAAATTCTTGACTCACACTCAGAACAAATGTTTTGCTAGCTAACAGAAGTACGCATGCATCCATCTACTTCAGAGATCCATCTTCTCCGCGGGGACTGCGCACTAGTCGATCACCATGCTGTGGTATTGTTTCGCCTCGGTCTAGTTATGCTATCCTATCCGATCGAAGGTACTGAGCTATGAAAAACTTCTCTCAGAAAAAATGTTTTGCTGGCTATCAGGAGTACGCATGCATTCAGATATTCATCTTCTCCGCCGGGACTGCGCACGGATCATCATGCTGACGGTATTGTTTCACCTCGGACTACTCAGGTTTGTTTTTCTTGTGTGGAGTAATGCCTTGACAATATCGTTTGAGTCACGCAGGAGGGCCAGGTGCAGCGAGATAGTCATGCTGCAGCCTGCCAAAGTTTCTGATCATCCGTTGCCTCAATCCTGGTGCGTTATGGCTTTTTCTTTCACTCGCAAGCTCACGCCATCGTTACATCCTTTTCCAGACACGGCTTCTCGAATTCTCTATGACAATTGATTGAGAAGATGACGGAAAGTGGAGGAGAAAAAAATCAACAAGCATTTACGATTTCTCCTGGACAGAAAGACCTCCTCCCTCCTGATCTCTAGAGAACGAGTCTAGATCTACAAAGACTCAAAATCTTTCATCGGTATGCTCTCCATTCTATATTCAAGTCAATTCGCTCGCTCACAAAAGTCTCAGCGCCACCACGGTGGACGCGACGATCAACCTCCACCAAGTTACGAGACTATCGCCACCCTACAGCAAACCATTTTCTGGTCAGTTCTCTCGGATCGAGAAAGAAAAAAAAAAGGCTTAAGCTCTTACCGAGGTGTTGTCTTGCTCTGACCCTTCTATAGGGACCGCTGCCGAGGCTCCGGAGCTACCACTGGGCGCCATGGAGGTGCTGGGTGACTCGCTCGTCGCTGGAGCTATCGCTGGGACCAGTCCCATCCCTGGAGAAGCCGCAGGGCCTGTTGGTCCTCCTCCTGGCGATGGCGATGACGATGGTGACGATGGAGGAAGCCCTGGGGCCAGGACTAATCCGGCCGGAGTTGGAGATAGTGCCAGGGGAGGAGCAGCAGCCAAGACGCCAACACTGATGGTAACTTTCTGTCCGCCATCGCAGTGCGTTCCCTGGCCCTCCACTGAGAATCCACACGCAAAGTAGTACGCGCCAGTCTTCTCTGGAGCTATCCACTTTGGAAAAGCAAAAAGAAAAGGAAAAAAGCAAGAGCTTTGGCCACTTTAGTCACGAGAAAGCGGTCCGGAAGCGTACTACAGACCGTGAAGTTGCCAGACGATCCAGTGTCGAGCATGGTTGCCTTCGCAAAGTTGCAATTGTCGAAGTCGGCCTTGGACGGAAGCATTGCCACATTGTGAAAGCCTGGAGCGTATCGAAACACTGCACGATTCATACGGGATCGTTTGTTAGCAGCCATAGCGCAAGGACTAGAGAAACGAAAAAACCAAGGCGCTACCTACACTCACAGGGAAGCCTGGAGAAAACTTAGAGAAGAGAAGACCAAGAACAGGATGATCCACTCACCGACGGAATCTCCCGATGCGACTGGCTGAGAGGCGGCCCAGGCAGCATAATCTGGAACCCTCTGCGTGGAGAGATCGAAATTTGTCCAGCCGAGCGAGTCTCCCACGGTGATGACAACACACATTGCCCTCCTGTGGAGGAACAAGACTAGTAGCAAGCAAAAACACACTGTCGAAGAGTTTGTGCTCCTCCCCATCTTGAGAGCCTGAGAGCCTCCCTCCCTTTCTTTGTTACTCTTGGAATCTTGGGCTCAACAAAACAGTAGGAGTGCTTCCTTATAAAGAGGACGCATCTAATAGCCGTTGCTCTGTCCTTGTTTCTTGCCTCATAAACTATGGTGTTCAGGTGTCCACAGAAAAGCTTGTCTAAAATTAATGGCGGCTCAAAAATTTCCATGAACTTTTTTCTCACTTTTTGTTTAAAGGCATTGGCACAAGATATTTGTTGTTTCTGAAAAAAACTTTGACGTATATACCTTTAAAGTTACTAGCGAATGCAGTGCCAACTTTTGGCCAAAAGCTCCTGGACGTTTAGATTGGGTAGAACGTAGCGATTAAAAACACCTTGTACAGAACTAAATAACCGCGTGATTCAATGGTACAACGAGCGTATCTCGCCTGAAGTCCTTTCAAAGATTGTATTTTGCTCCAGTATGGAGGTATCAGGATTGCGTCTTCAATTCTGTCCTCGGTAGCAACTCGACACCTAAAGAGAACAACACACAAGACCTTCAAATGAACGGAAACTCTTACCAATCGTAAGCATCTAATGGACTCCTTTCTCCTTGACATTTTCGATGGCACACAAATGAGCAAGATTCCACAGAGAAGAAAAAGTCCTCACTCCTAAAGAGCTGACAAGCGTAGTTTGGGACCAGTGCTGCCTCCTCCACAAACGTAATGCCAAGAACATACCACCTCATCCGCTAACATAGCTTCGTGGTAGTTGTGATGAGATCGAACGCTTACTTTGCCAGGGAAGATGTCTAAGTGAGCAAGAGCGACGAGGAGTAAGCTCCATCATCTATGTCTCGGCGTTGACCCCTGTTTTAATGAAGCCCTAGCCATGGCTACTACTTCTGCTGCCTATCCGCCACCGCCTCCCTATTACACGCTCTACAAGGATCCAGCCTCCGCGCCATCGCCGCCTCCGCCGCTCCAGGGAACTTACTCCGTGTTTGGGAACACGTACACGGTTAGACCCTCTTCTCCTTTTTTCTTCTCTTATAAGCTTGAGCTTTCAGACTGACGATACACTACCCAGTTTGGAGGAAGTGGGGCTTCGTCAATTGTATCCCATAGGACCCAACATTGGTAAGTTGGACTCGACCAAGAATTTTTCCAGTGGATTGATCTTTGTCCTCAAACTTTGGGAGATTAGACTACAAGAAGGAGCTCAAGGCTTTGAACCGAGAGCTTGTGCTCCAGATGATGGAGCTCGCCGACGTTTTGGTGGAGAGGCCTTCTCAGTATGCTCGAAGAGTGGAAGACATGGGGCTCATTCTCAGAAACATGCATCACTTGCTCAATTCACTCAGACCACACCAGGTTTGACAAAAACAAAATCCTTTCTTGTCTGCTCATGCAAAGTATCGTTCTCCAGGCCAGAGCGACACTTATTCGCATTCTCGAGACCCAAGTGCAAAGACGAAAGCAAGCTGTGGAAGAAGTTCACAAGTAAGCATTGGAACTCGTTTTTGTATTCATATTTTCTCCCTGATTTGATCAGGAGAAGGAACGAGGCAAGATCACTCCTCCAGGAATCAACAGCTGCACTAGAAACCCAACTTAGCCAGCAAAGAATTGTGTGACTTTTGCTTTAGAAGAGGAATATACTAGAATATCTAAATATATTTAGGATATTTCTCTTTTAAACTCTTATAATCAATATTTTTAGTTATCACTAATACAAAACGTGTTTAAATTAACAGTTATAATCTAGTACTAGTACTAGAATGTACAAGAGGGGAAAGAGTGAGCAAAACCAAATGCCACTATAGTCAAACTCCATTTTCTGGTGTTCACTCTGTTGAATTGATAATTGTAGTGGTGATTTGTGAATGATTGTTAGAGAATGTTAAACATTCATAAGGTTTGTACCAAGTAAAACTTTAGATTTTCTTCTGTTACTCAAATATTTTCCCTTGCCTTGTAAAGACAGTAGCACATTAGGTTACAAAGGCAGTGTATATGTGTGTTTTATGTAGGCTTTTTTTTCTTTGGAAGTGTGTTATTTTGTATGCCAACATTTGGAATGGGAAGAGTTATAGGTTAAGCATGTGATTACTTTGCCATCTTAGCCTTGTCAATTTTCTTTTTCAGCATGATGTGTCATTATAAATAATTTCGAAGTTGCAACCTTGTAAGTTACTATTATTTACTTGTGGAGCCAAAGTCAAAGAATTGTTTTTCTTTCTTCTAGGGAGATAAGTATTGCTGTGGTTGAAATAAAACTAAGGAGAGTATATCTAAGATGGTGCATAGTGGAAGATGAAGCTAATTTACATTTATCACTACCAGTTTTATTTAATATTCAATCCCAATATTTTTATCTCATTAAATCAAGTAGTACCACAAAGTTAGTTTAGTTGATAAGAATGAGGGGAGTAACACTGTAAATAAATACTAATTATCTTGACAATTACTGTGGTTGAAATAAAACCTAAAGGAGACTATATCTAAAGTGGTGCACTGAAGTATTTATAGTGGAAGATAAAGCTAATTTACATTTATCACTGCCACTTTTGTTTAATCTTTGATCTCTCATGTTATTAAATCAAGTAATATCATTGCATTGTGATTGCTACCACCACAAAATTTGTTCAGTTGATATGAATGAGAAATGGTGCTAATCAGCAATATTCTAAATAAAGGCTAATTATCTTGACAAAAAAGAAAGAAAGTGCTAAGAAAGTTCTGAAAATAACATAAACTTTTAAAAGAACATCACTTATTGTATTGTGTTCTAAAATTCTTACATCCTTTTCTAATTAAATAAGTATGTATATTTGCCAACATCAACTAATAAAGCTAGTTAGTTCCCTAATTTAATCATAGTCTATTTATTCTATTCATTTCTAATTGAATTTAGAAAACTTGAGAAATGAAAATAAGTTAGCAATTGTAAAAAACTAAAAAGAATGACCCAAAAGATGATTTATAAAGGTTTAAATATAGAAAGAAAAGGACCATGAATAAAAAGTGCATCCCTTTTTTAAATATTTAGGGTTAAGCGTCCTTGGGTTATTAGGCTAAGTCACATCTCAGGAAGTTTAAATTCAGGAACTTACATTAAATATAAAAAAGGTTTTGCATTTATATTTAGATCTCAGGTCTAACTTTGCTTATTTGCTAAAGGAATCACACCTTATAATTAAGATTAATATTTGGCAGTTATTTGCTCCACTTGGGCTAAACTTTAGGGGTAGAGTGTCAAAAGAGCACATTTGCTTAAGACGGATTCAAATATAGAAGAAAAAAGCCCATGAATAAAAGTGTATTTTTTTTAATTGGTTAATAGTTTAGGGATACTTGGGGTTAAATGTCTTTGCTAGATAACCTCTTGTGAAGTTTAAATTCAGGATTTTATAGCACCCTCTTTTATAATTACTTAAGAGTTTTAGAATAATTGGGGTTAAATATCTTTAGTTTAAGTAATATTAAGCTGAGAAGTTTAAATAAAGTTGTTATTTATATTCAAGCTTTACATTAATTGTATTTATAAAATTTTAAAAATTTAGTAATTTTGAGAGTATTTATAGATAAATGGTATATAATTTTTTAATAAATATATACATAATATTAAGAATTAAAAAAAGATGGGAAAATTAAAATGACTATTAAATTTGAGTTTTAGATTAACTCTTTTGATAACAAATGAAAATTTAAATTAGTAGAATTAAGGATATTCTAAAACTAAAAATATAATTGTGTGGTATAAGTGTATGGTTACAATGCCATATACTAATATTAGCATAGTAAAATTTTGCTAGCCATTAAATTAGTTTCAATCCAAACCATTTGCTTCTATGAGACACAAATCCTTAAGCCCCAAATGTGAAACACAAAATCCCTAGGCCCCAAAGTGGAGCTGGAAAGGGTGCCATGTGGTAGTGGCTGAAGCAAAAGCCAAACGAGCGTGACCCGTTTGGAATAAAAGCTCCGACTTGGAAGGTCGAGAGCGGGAGTGGAACTCCCAACAAAGTGCTTGAGGAACAAGCACAAAGCGAGCAATAAGCGAGGCTCCAAAAAGGGACCCAAAAGGACCAACACATGACACGTGGAAGAGTCCAAGATGGAGTCCGAGATGGACCGAGACGGAGTCTGAGATGGAGTCTGAGATGGACCGAGATGGAGTCCGAGGTGGAGTCCGAGATGGACCGAGATGGAGTCCGAGATGGATACCGAAGTGGAGTCCGAGATGGAGTCCGAAGTGGATACTGAGATGGAGTCCGAGATGGACCGAGACAGAGTCTGAGATGGAGTCCGAGATGGACCGAGATGGAGTCCGAGATGGAGTCCGAGGTGGAGTCCGAGATGGAGTCTGAGATGGACCGAGACGGAGTCCGAGATGGAGT